TTTTTTGTTCATTCCTCTGTAGAAAGAGAACTTACTGTTTGTGGCCCATGAAGGCAATGGAAAGAACTGCTCTGACAATGGCCATCTGTGGGGCTGAGGTACATACTCCCTCCAGGGGCAGGGTGGCTCACACCTGTACAAAAAACAACCTGCCAGGCCATTTGGCATTACCATAGCCTGAAAGTATCCCACTGCGGGAAGGGGGACATTGCCTCAACCTCCCACAGAGGCTGTGCTCTGGTGGCCTCCAGCTGGGAGGGGGCACTTGATCATGAGGAAACTTGCCTGGTGGGAGACACCAACCAGAGAAGTCATTTTAGACCACAGAATTTTTTAAAAGACAGTGCCCTGCCCCTGTCATTTTGAAGGTGGAGAAGATAACCACCTTCCCGCCTCAGAAATCAATAACAATGTAAATACTTTGGCCCGTGGGGCCAAGCTTTTCCTACTAGTGATAGTTTCATATTTGCCCCTTTATTCATGTCCAAAAGGTTTTATTAAAATAGGACAAAGTCCAACTCTATATGGATTTAAAGACCCTTTCTTGAGACCTTTGAAGCCACTGCACCCCAGAATATAACTGAGGAGACCCACTTAGCAGAATTAGATTAGTTAACACTCTGGTGTAGTTATAAAAACGTGGCTTACTTTTGCAAGCCTGGTCATTGGACGTGGAACATCGCCTACAAGAGGCAAAGCTGCTCTTTTCTTGGCAGCTGAGTTCTTTGAACCTTCAGAGAAGACTAAGTTACTCTGATGTCCAGAACAGCCATTGACTTCCTTGGCATGTGCCTTAGGGATAATTGTGGATTTCAGGTGAAGCATCCGCCCGGCCACCCCTTACTAGCAGACGTCGAGCCTGGTTGTTGCAGCTGGGGCTGGTTAAGGGGTGCAGGGCTTGGGTTAGAGGGCGCTTTTCCTCCTGTCAAGTATCCCAGAACACACAGGTCTGCCAAGAGAGGTGGCTAAGAAGGCGCTGAACGCCTACAGGTGAGCTGAAAGCTACAGCAGGGACACCAGCGGAGTAAAGACACTGTCCCCCTGCAGGTTCCGAGCCTGCAGGAGTGCGGTGCCCCCCAGGAACCTCCCCCCATGTCCTGAACAATCTAGTGAGATGATGCCTCCTGACAAGCCCACAGTCTCTGCACTAACATTTTTCTCGAAAAATGAGGCACTTTAGGAGAGAATAGCCTAAAATAGACACTACCAACAGCTGCTCTGAGCCCACATCTCGGATCCCATGATGTAATGAAAGGCCCACAAATATTAGGAGTGCTTCCTGTATTAGCCTGCATCTCCTGAGCCAGAGAAGAGAGGAGACACCATCCCTTCCTCCAGGGAATTCGACTGTTTGCAAAGGAAGATACTTGGTGCATCTAAGAACGTATAAATCCTTTCACACGGTTTGATTTTACACACCATAGGGAAGTCTCTGGAAGCACACCCAAGGACTTTGGTGACACCAGTTCCTTCAGGGAGGGGCACTGCTCCCCAAGGAGAGGCACAAGAGAAGGCATCGTGTTTCCTCGTGGATCTTCAGAATTTTATCCATGTCACATATTACCTGTTCAAAAAATTAAAAGGGTAGAGCATGCCGGTTAAGGAGTGCGGACTCGGGGTGGGGGAGTGGCTGCCTTTGTCAGACAAGTTAGGACTTGGTACCTCAGTTATTCCAGACATCAGCCCACTAAACCAGCTACTTCAGAATGCCACCCAGAAGGTGTACCGTGAAGAGTTTGTACTCTTCAGGAAACAGGCAACTCGGACCGCATGTAAATGCAGGAGGAAACATTACACAGGTGGTTTTAAGCTGAAACCCTTCACAAAGAAGTCTGAATTCTCTAACTTAATTTTAGACAAACACCTGCTGTTTATCTTCTATTCA